AAATAACATCACATCGCTGCGCGAGTGTCACCTAAGCACTGGCAGGCGCGGCGCCTGCATTTCTTATATAGAGCCATCTGCTCAGTGCACTTTAAACACTTACCTTACAGCGTAATCTTGCAAATGCTGGACAAGTAGACAAAATATAATAAATTTTGTACCTGGTGCTCTGCTCTAGACATTTCCTGCAGTCTTCTCGATCTGTCATCCCCATCCAGCATACGTGTGACTATAGAGGGAGAAACTGTTTAGTATTCCCATCATGTTCTATAGAGTCCTTCAGATCTACCGTTTGGTACATTTGCAGTTTTGCAGCCATATAGCTCGTTCCATCGGTTTTTGGTTTTCTTTACCATACTTCTGTCGAGATCGTCGTATAGAAAATGTATGGGTTTTCCAATGTTTATCAGGTGGTCCGACAACTTTAAAGGTAGCCTTATGCCTAACTCTAGACAGTATATTCTCGCACCAATTCCATCGTCCATTTTCGAGCCATCCGTATAGATGTTTAAAGCGTTACGCTTAGCTAACATACCCTTACGCCAACCTTCTTTCCCAGTTGAAAAGTGGAGTCATGTAGTCGGTGTTGGTCCAACCGCCATTACCCACCGAGCTATGCCCGAAAGTTCTATATGTAAATTCTCCTGCAGTCAATAGGCGTTCCTCCGATTTTGCTGAGCAGTTTTCAGCGAAGAGCTCTCTACGCGGCAGTCTTAGTACCACTTCAAGAGTCGCTGTTGAAATTGTTCTTAAAGCTACCGTTGCATAACTTGTCCATAGGAGTAAAGTAATACTCTTACATAACTCAAAACTGTCGCCAATACATACATTTTTTTTCAATTTTTTACAGTACAGATGGATCTGGGAAAATCAATGATAAAAGTTTTTTGAGTTTTTTGCTAAACTAACTTTTCAAAAATGTAGCATATTTTCTAGCTTAAATTTTTACAAGAAAAAATATGAGATTTCCACTATAATACAAAGTCTTCTTTGGCTGCGGAGTGAACTCATTTAATCATATTTGGACTTTTGCGTTTTTTGTACTCAATATTTTAATATAACACTTCCCCTCCTCCACAGGGATACTATAAAGTTTATCCCAGATATGTACTTATCTAAACTATTATTAATTTGTCAGTTTTTTTTTAATTAACAATTTATATTTAATGGAATTCCACTTGACTTCTTGAACTGAAATTCGTTGTAATGAGATACTATAAGTGCATAATGTGGTATACTTAGAATGCTCATAATACAGTGATTAGAAAACCGCAAAACCGCAAAAATTTTATAAAACCACCAACGAGGCGGCACCTTTAATGCTTCTAAGTTACATTTCTTACTAATAAAGTCATAATTGTAATATGTACAATTAATCGCAATTAAAGTTATATGAAAGATAAGGAACAAATAAAATGAGACATTACTGTGACATATTTTTCTTACTCGAAACTACTATTAATTTTTTTTATCAAATAATACTTAAAGAGTTTGATAAATTTGATTTAATCGAATATTTGGAAATATATTTAAAATATATCAATTATTATCCGATATGCTCGAAAAAAGTCAAATAGCCGCATGGAAATTTCTTATTTCCGATATATAAACACAAAAACTGTCAAATTCCAAATCTCAAATGTTAGGCTCGAGTTTGTTCTACAATGTTTTTTACTTTACTGTGCGTGCGTGACGATCAAAACGTAAGCCCTTAGGCACATTAAATGGAAAGTTTTGGTGAAGTGCATCAGCGTACTATTCGAGAAGTACCCTGATTACAAATTGCAGGTAAATACTAAAAAAAGGTAGTAATAAAATATTGGCTTGATAATTGAGTGAGAAATATTATTGGCCACTTAACTCATGTACATATACATATACATACATATACATATGTATATAATTATCTAAATAAACAAGCTGTCATTTAAATTTGCTTGTGACAGGTAAAAAACCTGTGTTACGTATACGCAGTGGTCGTTAATTGCAATGCACACATATGCATGTTCAATGACCAACAAAAGTCATAAAAACTACAACGAATTTTAATAGAAATTGCACATATATGTACATGTTATTAGTCAAAGTTAGGTGCAAATATTAACAGTTAACTCTCAAAGTAGGTTGGTGTGCGAAAGAATTTTCTGATATCAGCGGGGTAATTCGAGACGAGTTCAACAAACAGCTGATGCCATTTTAAATGGAATGAATAATAACTCAACCTATGCTGACATCAGTTTTACAACATTTCGCCATAATGCTGTTATAAGAAAACATATATAAAAATATCAAAGAGCTTAATGGAAATTTAATTGAATCACATGTCTTATCAGCAAGCTTGGAAGGCCAACTGAAGTTATTTGAAAAAAATTACTCTTTATTTGCTTTAAATTTCTAATCTGAATTGCATATTATACATGCGAATATATTTGCACGTTCGTTAAGTTTACATTGGCATATGGAGGCAAGTAAAGCAATAAGCTGCCCCATGAGTAATTCACAAGCCACTTTGAGATACTAAAAACAAATTGGAAAATAGCAATTAAAGTGAAAATTATGAGACACTAAGACTGAATTATCGGTTTGAGAACTGAGCAAAGCACTTTTCTTTGCACTCATTGCAAATTCAACGTTTTTCCAAAATTGCAAAATAACGTAAGTAATTTTTTACTGCTTCAGAATCATAGATTTTCTCAGTTGAATCGATTTATAAAATTGCCAAAAGTATTCTGATAATCCCAATTAGAGGACTAATAAAAGCTCTGTTTTTATTGTACGTATTTTTAAAAATCATATTTTGATATTTGGACTATATTTTTTCATAATTTGTATATTGATACGCGTTTTTTGAAATTCTTTTTCGAATGTACAAAATTCTAAAGAGATCGTTTTTTTTTCATATTTTTAAAAGCCTTACATACATTAATAATAATAATAA